AAGGAAATTAAGATTCATTACTTCCAAACAACATTCTCTGTAGAAAAAACAGTATACATACAACTTCATACATAACTTTCAGGACTAATTATTTCCTCAAAACATATGTTTAAAACAGAAGAAATCTCTGACAAGTTTTGAAGATAGATTAATAAGTAGATGTGGTAACATGTACATAATAATTATGATGAAATATGAAGCATTATCTTTTGATCAGTGGGTCTTTGTGTCTGTAAAATTGTAATTTATCTGTTGATGTAAGCTGTTTTTTTAAGTGCAATTTGTGTTAGTGAGATTGTTATGGAAAAATCAGCTTATGTTTTGTCCAGATAAAGAATCAATAAATATTTTCATGAAAAATCTTTTGAGTACTTTGCAGCAATTCAGTAGAACTTGAGATCAATTTTACTTATAAATTTCATTTTTTTTGGTGGTAAATAGTCCATTAAAAATTATGTAAATACTCTAAGGTTATGTTAAGTTTGTAAGACTTTTTTGTCTACATGATTGAGGTTTTTCATTTGCCAAAGTTTTACTAATTTAAATGATAATGTCAACCATCTTCATAAGTTGGTGAGATGACCTAAAGCAAAGTCGTTACATTTGAATAAGCAAAATTTTAATGATGTATGGAAACAAATTAAACCTTTTATTCATTTTCTGATAGTCTTGATTCAAGATATCTTTATATTTCTCTCTTCTTAATTCTTTAAGCAAAAGAGTCGTACCTATAAAATTGAGAATGGAAACAGGGAATGTGTCAATGAGAGCAAAAAACAGCCCAAGGCCACCAATAGTTGTAACTTGTGTGTTCTTTTCATCAGACTACATGTTGCTTTAGCAGTAAATAGAAACTGATCCTCAACTTTTTTTAATAAGATTATGAGAGACCATGTAAAGAAAAACTCTGGAGGTCTCTATCAAAGGAGGCAAGAAGTGTAACTTTGGACAATATACATTACCAAGATAATACCGTCATGACTATAAAAAGATATGTTTAATCATGATATTTACATGGCAAACACTAATAGCTTCCTCCTATATTGATAAATAATAGCGACAGATAATGGATTTAAGTGCATCTTTTTTATTGACTCTTTGACAGTATTCATCACATAAAAACATCCAAGATTTCATTTTACCACCACAAGTTCTAGTCCTCATTGTTACCTTGCTACCTTTGCATTCAGGTGCTATAAAAATTTAATTGAAAATAAATAAGTTTCTTTCCTTTTGGGTATTGTGGTTATTGAACTGGTCTCAATGGAATTTCTGTGGTTGTTAGTGTTTATCATGCCTGTTGTCTTCGCTAGATTAGCAGCTTTTGTAATGATTTATTGAAGATTCTTGCGGGAATTACTTGAGAGTTGCTCTGACACTCAAATTAACATTAAGCATTATTAAGTTCCAGTTATCTGTCAGACCACTGTTTAATCGTAATTTGAGAGCTTTAATATTGACACTTCGTATCCTGTTATTAGTTGTTCGAGTTTTCATTGCCTAGATTTTTAAATCATCATTATATTTAGATACTAAAATGGCATTTCATCATATAAGGAAAGAGGTTAATATATATAAATTGTCCGAGATTCCAACAAAATACACCTACTGGTTAGTTGTAAACTCAGGGATTTTCCATTCTTCTTGCTTCCGATACAGAATGTGATGAAATTCCAGATTGACTTTAACATGCCATGTCAGAATTAAGAACGATGCTGTTTGGTACATTTACTTTCTCAGTATCAAGGATTTCTATACAAATCCTTGTCAGTATGTAGTTTGTATACGTGCTGTAGTACTAAAAACTTTGTTCAACTTATTGATGATTTATAAAAATGCTAGTTCTTTGCTCAACAAACTTCTATACTTATTTAATGTACTACAATAATGACAGAAAAAACAAGTATTTAGAATTACCTCATACTCAAATACTCTGTTGAACTTAGATTAATCTTATTTTTTTCTTGAGAGCAACAAACTGTACTTGGTCACAAAGCCTTAGCTATAATCGAGGCCAAATATTGTTGATCTTAGATAATTAATCCTACATATTAAAAGTAACAACAGAAAACATGAATAAACAGTGAAGTTACCACATGGGTTCAAGTTAATTGTAGCATAGGTTTAGATTGGTTTGTTGGCATATTTTTGTGGGTCTTGTTCCAAGGTACCAAGCCAGTCAGGAGCCTGTAATTCAGTTGTTGTTGTTTGTTGCTGTGTACTTGTATAAGTTAATGTGTTTTATACATAAATCAGGCAGTTAGTTTTCTCATTTGAATTGTTTTATATTTGTCATTTCAGGGCATTTTATAGCTTACTATGCGGTATGATTTTGCTCATTGTTGAAGGCTGTACAGTGACCTATAGTTGATAACTTCTATGTCATTTTATCTCTGGTGGAGGGTTGTCTCATTGGCACTCATATTACATCTTCTTATTTTTACATTTATATATAATGGTGCCTTCTAAATGTTAAATGGCATTTCTTATTTTCATAACAATAAGCACAACCTTGTTACAGATTACCAAAGATATTTTTATGGCCCCTGCCAGAAAGTGGTCGGGGCCATATAATTTTTCCCTTTTCAGTCATTCCATCATTCTGTCCTTCCTTCGTTTTTTTCTTTTTTTCTAAACACCTTCACAAATTGAGCTGTTTTTTAGAATGTGAGTCATTTATGATTATTTACAGATCAAGTTTACATTTAGTTCTGCTCAGCTGAAATGTGCCGTAATTACAGGCTTTGGACTTCGAAAATTTTGTGAAAATAACATTTATATGGAATTTCATTCTCAAATTTCCACTCCTTAAAACAGCTTCAAGATTTTATTGCGAGCGGGGGCATTTGTGTCATTTCGACACATCTAGTTTATTTGACAGAAATAAGCATTGAGAGAACTCTCATTTCGTATTACATAATCTGTCAATTTCATGTCCATTTATTTTTCTGTCAATAACCATTAAGATAGTATATGTAGATGCATTTTGCTATCAAAAGTTGTTGAAGCATTACTCTATGGATAGTATAAGTGCCCTATAAACTACAGTGAAAATGTTGAAGTAATCTGGATTTGGAACTGTCATCTTATTTCAATGTTTTGGGTTAATTTAGAGGATTCGATTAGAAACATTTATTTGATTCATTATTGAGATTCACATAAACTGTAGTTTTGCATGTCAAATGAAATATTTATAAATGTATGCATATTGCATATCTGAAATCATTTTGGTTTAAATTAAACAGTTTGATATCATTGTGAAAATTTACGATGAAAATGTCACGGTGTTAATGAACTCAAAAGAGCAGATTAGGTCATTTGATCAGAATTGATTTTAAATGTATCTATTAATTATTGATGTTTGCTCTGGTATATTTATTTGACATTTCCGTAACTCCCCCTCTGGCATTTTCATAGGCACTTTAATCCTTTTAAAAAAATTGGCTTTTTTTCCTGTTTTTTTCACACATTTTATTTTTGCTCATTTCTTCCAATACATTTCATATGTTAAAGCTAGAGATATTCGTTTCCTGACAAAGTTCTAGTTTTTTAGATTCTTGTATCTCAAAAACATGCTCACAAATCCATCTACATGTTTCCATAACTATGTTTTAATATACATAATTCCACCTTCCTTATGTAATAATGCTGTATTTTGATTTGATGAGAGACATGGTATTTTTCACCAATTTCTATGTATTGAGATTTTCTTTTCTCTGCCAGGGTATTTGCCTTTAGGGAATTCCATGTGCCGGGGTATTTGCTAGCAAATACCATAGCAGATGGGGAATACCATGTCTAAAAGTAACTCAATGAATTATTTCTAATCTAAAAGGACAAATTTATGGTCATTCTTAATATACTGTTCCAAGTGAAATATTTAGGATAAAAAACATCGTTAATGAATTTGGAGCGTCAATGACGTCAAAATTCCGCGAACCTGTACTTTTAATGACCTCATAAATAAAACTCAACGGAAACACATTGTCAACCGGTCATAAACATAAACTGGAAACCGCTTGTATTACGCTTCACTCAAACTGATGAAGAAAGTGTAGTAGTCAGCCGAGAACCAGCTTATCATAAACAGGGATATATATACAGTCAGTGACTGTACGTCAAAAATGATCAGAAATGATTTTACGGCCAATGCAATTTGTCTGCGCAAATAGGACAGCTGCAGTATATACAAAAATTATACATTCAAGTAGAAACTCCATATGATACCTGATTATAATAAACTTTCTGAGGTCAAGATGGATACAAAGTACATTCGTAGGAATTAAACAATTATATCATGCTTACAAGAGGTATTTGCCAAAAATACTGGTTTCGAGGTAATCAAATTTCCCTCGCCTAACGGCTCTGGAAATTTGTACCTCTCAACCGGTATTTTTGTCAAATACCCCTTGTAAGCATGATATATTTGTATATTAGCTATTGTAACAGTTGATAGGGAATAACAATAGTATTTTATCAGTGTCTTATGCTTGTGGAATTCATTACAAGCTATGTATTGATATCAAAGTTAATTTTCCACTTTTGTACACATATATACAAAGGGAGACAATTCAATCACAGGTATTCAAAATTACAAATAAGTGACAAAAATATAAAATCTTGAAAAGACTATGCTTATATAAGTTACATTTGCAAAGAAATGTTTTAATGTAATACCTCACAAACATTATTAAGCTGATTTGTTGTTATCAAGTCAGATTGGTGTTGCTCACAGCATTGATGGTACTTTGATTATAAGACAAAATAATTCAAATGACCAGTTTCTTCATGTTTAACACAGAAACAAATCTCAGGTTTTGTTTTTAATTAAGAAAACAAACATACAAGTTAACTTTCATCTTCTAAAAAAATATTTCTGCAAAGACGCTATGTTTTCTGAAATTGTTAATGACCACAGGGCTTGTTTTAGAAGAAGTAAGGTCAGTCATCTTTTACTATATACCGTAATCACAGAACTATTAAAGAAAAAATATTCTTACCTTAACACAATTAAACATATAAAGCTGTCCAGCAAGGATTTGTGTTTTCTGTCTAATAAGGGTCAAACCTTGTAATCTGAAATGAAAATAGTACATTTATTAAGTAAAATAAATAAGTCTTTAGTCATGAATATTAGATCAAATTTATCATGCCTATGTAATACATTGTAATTTGGTTTGTGTGCACATCATTTCTGTATGGTCAGGTAGATTTTTGGTTTGTCAAGGTATCAGGTAGATTTTTGGTTAGTTCAGAGTTAAGGTAGATTTTTGGTTAGTTCAGAGATCAGGTGATGTTTGGTTATTTCAGAGATCATGTAGATTTTTCGTTAGTTAAGATATCATGTAGATTTTTGGTTAGTTCAGAGATAAGGTAGATTCTTGGTTAGTTCAGAGATCTGGTAGATTTTTGGTAAGTTAAGATACCATGTAGATTTTTGGTTATTTCAGTGATAGATTTTTAGTTAGTTCAGATATCATGTAGATTTTTGGTTAGTTCAGAGATCATGTAGATTTTTGGTTAGTTCAGAGATCTGGTAGATTTTTGGTTAGTTCAGATATCATGTAGATTTTTGGTTAGTTCAGATATCATGTAGATTTTTGGTTAGTTCAGAGATCATGTAGATTTTTGGTTATTTGAGAGATCAGGTAGATTTTTGGTTATTTGAGAGATCTGGTAGATTTTTGGTTATTTCAGAGATCTGGTAGATTTTTGGTTAGTTCAGAGATCATGTAGATTTTTTGGTTAGTTCAGAGATCATGTAGATTTTTGGTTATTTCAGAGATCTGGTAGATTTTTTGTTATTTCAGAGATCTGGTAGATTTTTGGTTAGTTCAGAGATTGAGTAGATTTTTGGTTATTTGAGAGATCATGTAGATTTTTGGTTATTTCAGAGATCAGGTAGATTTTTGGTTATTTCAGAGATCTGGTAGATTTTTGGTTAGTTCAGAAATCAAGTAGATTTTTGGTTATTTGAGAGATCAGGTAGATTTTTGGTTATTTCAGAGATCTGGTAGATTTTTGGTTAGTTCAGAGATCATGTAGAATTTTTGGTTAGTTCAGAGATCATGTAGATTTTTGGTTATTTCAGAGATCTGGTAGATTTTTCGTTATTTCTGAGATCTGGTAGATTTTTGGTTAGTTCAGAGATTGAGTAGATTTTTGGTTATTTGAGAGATCATGTAGATTTTTGGTTATTTCAGAGATCAGGTAGATTTTTGGTTATTTCAGAGATCTGGTAGATTTTTGGTTAGTTCAGAAATCAAGTAGATTTTTTGTTATTTGAGAGATCAGGTAGATTTTTGGTTATTTCAGAGATCAGGTAGATTTTTGGTTAGTTCAGAGATCTGGTAGATTTTTGGTTAGTTCAGATATCATGTAGATTTTTGGTTAGTTCAGAGATCATGTAGATTTTTGGTTATTTAAGAGATCTGGTAGATTTTTGGTTAGTTCAGAGATCATGTAGATTTTTGGTTAGTTCAGAGATCATGTAGATTTTTGGTTAGTTCAGAGATCATGTAGATTTTTGGTTAGTTCAGAGATCATGTAGATTTTTGGTTATTTCAGAGATCTGGTAGATTTTTGGTTATTTCAGAGATCTGGTAGATTTTTGGTTATTTCAGAGATCTGGTAGATTTTTGGTTATTTCAGAGATCTGGTAGATTTTTGGTTAGTTCAGAGATCAAGTAGATTTTTGGTTATTTGAGAGATCAGGTAGATTTTTGGTTAGTTCAGAGATCTGGTAGATTTTTGGTTCGTTCAGAGATCAGGTAGTATTTCTGTGGATTTTTTGTTTCATGGTTAGCCCTTTCTATCTGAATTTGCTACAATTGATTTTTGTAATTTTCAACTTTGTTTATGTATTTATATAAGAAAAGATTTAAGTTTGAAATTAGTAATATTTTGAATTTGTTTTTGTACTCCCAAAAGTTGTTTATGCTTCATTTTATTGCTTGGTATGTATCGGGTTACAAAAAACTTCACCAAACTAACAGTTGAAATGGTTCTGTCAATGTGGTGCTAATATTACAAGTGTTTTTTTAAAAGTTAATCCTAATGAACTGGCATTATTTTGAAACAATGAGCTAACATGCCGTAACATGGAATGTGCCAATTATTTTTCAACACATATGTTCAAATTGGATTTTTTTAATTGTAGCATGGGAAAACATCACAAATGCCAATCCTGAAAACAAACTGGCATTTTTAAAGTAAATGTTGCAAAATGAATTAAAGATATCATAAAGCAGACCCCCAACGATGATTTGTATGACAGGTTTATCTCCCTTCTTCTTTTTTCTGTAATTTCCCCTATCTGTTTTATGATTCTCATCAACCTGATCTTGGGTAATATGACTTATCATAACTAATTTATGAACTCTCAAAAACTATTAAAGAAAGCCTTTATAACTTCTTATCCACTTTATAGATACTGGTAGTACGATTTGAATAAACTTTGATGTATAGAATGTTTAGAAACAACTTGAGGGTAAAGTTATATAATATGAAGTTTTTTGCAATCACAAGTTCTGCTGCCAGAGATGAAATAAACAATGCATGTAATGAATGATTTGTTCTGCTTCAGAATTTGTAAGTTCTGGTATTAATTAAGCCTTACTTAAAATACCTTTGTCATTTTGTAAACTGCTGGGGTAAAAATTTATTTTGTTAAAAATCTCAAATTCTGAGAAACATTTTATTTTGTGTTAGGATTTAAAAGGAGATTGATAAATTGGTATAATATTTATGTTTATGTGCATATTATTTTTTTGTGAAATTTGAAAAATATATTCTTGTTAAAACTTAAACACAAAAATTTTGAGAAAGACTTTTTGTGATGTAAAATTTCTAAAAGTATTACTGGTACACAATTTTGTATGTTATGTACTTCATATGTGGATGTGCTTAAAGTCAATTGCAATTCAACTATATTATTTGGAACAAATTTGCTTAGGTACATTCAAGGGGTGAAAGGGAGAGAAACAGAGAGATTTTTTTTCTTCCAAGTGGGAGAGATTTGATAAAGTTGTTATTAGTTGGCTTATCTTCAGAAGGAGATTGTCCTTTTTTCAAATATTGGAAACTGCCACCAAAATTTTGATGAGTGGACATCTGTGCTACTGAATGAATAAAGGACTTTGATTTTTATTATGCTAACTTCATCATAGCCTTCTAATATTAAAGCACCCTGAATGTTATATTTATGGTAAAATTATATATTTTTGACGTTTGGTATGTAACATTCATATATTTCATTCTAATGGTCCTTGATGGCAGAGTAGTCTTAGTAGTTCTACATTGATCAATAGCCTGTCAACTTTGAGACCCTGTTTTGGCGTGTTATTTTTTACAACAATCTTAATTGACAAGGATTGCCAATTTTCCTTCTGAAGGTCTTTGTTTCTCTCCAGACTCTCTGGTTTCCTCCACCCAATAAATAATCAGGTTGCCATGATATAGCCACAGCAGAAAGTGGTGCTAAACACCAATTAACAAACACACAATGTAACATTCAAATGTCAGACTGAGTAGAAAGTGGTGCTAAACACCAATAAACAAACACACAATGTAACATTCAAATGTCAGACACAGTAGAAAGTGGTGCTAAACACCAATTAACAAACACACAATGTAACATTCAAATGTCAGACTGAGTAGAAAGTGGTGCTAAACCCCAATAAACAAACACACAATGTAACATTCAAATGTCAGACACAGTAGAAAGTGGTGCTTAACACCAATAAACAAACACACAATGTAACATTCAAATGTCAGACACAGTAAAAAGAGGTGCTAAACACCAATTAACAAACACACAATGTAACATTCAAATGTCAGACTGAGTAGAAAGTGGTGCTAAACCCCAATAAACAAACACACAATGTAACATTCAAATGTCAGACACAGTAAAAAGTGGTGCATAACACCAATAAACAAACACACAATGTAACATTCAAATGTCAGACTAAGTAGAAAGTGGTGCTAAACACCAATAAACAAACACACAATGTAACATTCAAATGTCAGACACAGTAGAAAGTGGTGCTAAACACCAATTAACAAACACACAATGTAACATTCAAATGTCAGACACAGTTAAAAGAGGTGCTAAACACCAATTAACAAACACACAATGTAACATTCAAATGTCAGACACAGTAAAAAGAGGTGCTAAACACCAATTAACAAACACACAATGTAACATTCAAATGTCAGACTGAGTAGAAAGTGGTGCTAAATACCAATAAACAAACACACAATGTAACATTCAAATGTCAGACACAGTAAAAAAAGGTGCTTAACACCAATAAACAAACACACAATGTAACATTCAAATGTCAGACACAGTAAAAAGAGGTGCTTAACACCAATTAACAAACACACAATGCAACATTCAAATGTCTGACTCTGTATTATTGTTATTTAATCAATATGGTATATTTTCTGAGTTTCAGACAAGCTTCTGTCTTTTGTTGAGTCATTTTGGAGGTCAAATTACTATTAAGTCTATTTAAGGCTGTGAAAGCTGATTTTGTGGTTTGATGAAATTTGATCTTCTTTGACTGCAAGCATTAAAGTTAATTACATGTTAATCTTATATACATTTGTATTAATTTTTTTCAGGTAAGTGATAAACAAGACCATAACACAGCAGAATCACATTGAAATAATTAGTAGGTACATGTATTTAATCAGTTTAGGTTATTGTATAAAGCTTAATTAAGATGATTAACTGATTTGAAAGCCTAGAAGCATTTGTCTCTAGCTTGGTCAATATGTGGAATTCATTTCAGGTAGTTGGCATTAGTAATATTTTCTTCAATTCCTTAATGTCAATATCCTCTTTTTGGATATGTATGATGGCTTGTTTCAAAGCTGAGACATTTTCACACACAAACAGTTTGATTTTCGAAGTACCATATGAGCAAAATATAGGACTACCAGAGAACCAGTTGTATGATATGGCTTCTCTAAGTGAAAAATCACAATTTTTATACGACCGCAAAAAAATTTTGTGGTCGTATATTGGTATGACGTTGGCGTCGTCGTTGTCGTCGTCCGAAGACACATTGGTT